TGAAAACGCTACCGGGGACCGCGACCGTATCAGACATGTGAACAGAGCATCTAAGTTGGCTAATACTCGCAACAAGGCCAAGAAGAGGGCGGAACTGCATGCTTGGATACAGGAGCGAGTGTTGAACCTCAGCATGGGGCTTTTTAATTCGATACGATGGCAACGACTTACCTGGTATCCGAACACCCGCCTCTATCCAACGGTCCCGTTCGACAAGGCAACAGACAAACCAACACGCCATCCAACCCCAGCTGAAGTTCAAAAGGCTTGTAAATTTGCCGATAGAAATTTCTACCTCATGAATGCTGGCCGCCCGGTTCTTTTGGATCCTCGAAATCCAGAATCCGTCATTGCGATTATGGATTTCACCCCGTGGAATCGCTTAACTGAAACCGATAAGGCGAATCTGGAATTTGTTTCGACCTTTCTCCACCAAACAAAGGAGTTTGTCAATCCTGTTTCATCTTCAACCCGCTCATGGGGTGGTAAGATGTGGGGAATTGGCTGGAGGAAGTCTCAGGACTTTCTCCAGATTTTTGGAAGATATATCAAACAGTTCCCTCCTAACAAGATGGAAAAATATGATACTCTTTTTCAAAAATCCAAACGTGTTGGTGAGATCCTTGGTGAATATTATAAAAATTTAGCTTCTGGTCCATTCCAAAACAATCAAGATCTCATGAAGCTCTTCAATCTTCCCTATTTTGATGCACTTTCCTTTGGTGAAAAGCCTAGTCCCAACTCCTGTTCACCCCATCTCACGTTCACCACTAATAACTTTTTCAATCCACCTCACAAAGATCATAATGATATGTCTAAGTGGGCTTTTGTTATGTTTATTCCTATTTACTCTGCTACTGGCAAATTGGCTCGTCCGGATTCTGGTTATGATCTTAAAGGTGGCCCTTTTGTTTTTCCAAGTTTCCACACCGGTATTAGTTTTGATAAACAACATGGTATTGTTAAAATGATTTGGCAAGCCAATAAATATCGACATTGTACTCTTCCATATTTATCCCCATCTGGTTCTACTGAGTTTACTCGTCTTGGTTTATCCCTTCAGATTACTACTTCAATTGTTGATGCTGTTAAAAGAGAAGCAGAAGGTTATTATACAGACCCTCTCAATTACTTTGGGGATCACTTTTATTATATGTTTCGTTGTCTAGCAAAAGGTACTTTATTAGCTGCTTTATTTTGTTTTCATTATTTCCTTTTTATCTTTTCCTAGCTGCTTTATTTTGTTTTCATTGTCTTTTCTTTTTTATTTAAGTAGTAGCTTCAGTTATGCAATCTTATAAGTAAAAACCCCAATAAAACACACATCTCACCATCTTCCAGTTGAAATATTTGTTTGACCTTGTTCATGAGGTTTATTCTGTTAATGAAGAATTTCATCTGTCAGTTTGATTACAGAGAAAAATTAACAAGTGAGGGGAATATATGAATGAGTATGTAGGAACAATTTGCAATTTGCCATAAAGATTGTCATTGCTTCATAGATTCACGATAGTCTTAGCATCCTCTATGTTCAGAACTTCAAGAGTCCAGTACAAGTGTGCCAAGTGATTTGGATAGAATATGAAGAGAATTTGTGAAATTAACTGAGGATAGATAACATATAAATGAATATGATAATGTAGGAACTTTTGGCCAATTGTAATAAAGATTGTCATTGCTTAACTTCAAATATCCACCATAATCTTAGTATAATCTGTCTTCAGTCTCAGAACTCCAAGAATGCATTACAGGTGTGCTCAGTTATACCTAATGGCAACATGATCCACAGCAATATATAAATGTTTTTCTTTGTTATTGTTGTAATTGATGATAATATAATTCATAGTAACCTCTGTTCATCATGATTCACAGCATAATTCATAGTAACCTCTGTTCATCATGATTCACAGCTTATAATTATTGATAATAATAATATGATTCACCACAAGACCTACATCATGACCTTAGTATTGTTGTAGTTAATGATAACCTAATTATCATTATAACCTGTGTTCATCAAGTATTTGAATGGAGATTCAAATACTTGAATCTTGATCTAACGTGTGCTATGCGAAATTTATAATATTATCTCTGAAATTGCAAAGAAATGAATTTCAAATGATATGGTTTACTTCCTTACTTTAGATCATAGAATTTGAATCCTGTTCTCAGAATGAACTCTCCATTAATGAATACTGAATTCAATAAAATTTGAGGATTCAGCCTCAGGCTGAGGGAGCATATGAATAATTCTACTATTTTTTCATTACACCTTTCATGACAGATGACCATGTCATAAAAACCTTTTGTATCATCTGCAGATTTACTGAAATATGAAACACTGCATGCACAATCTCGATTCAACTTCATGAAACCCCTTTAAATATTGAGTATTTTGAGTATTTGACCCAATGTCTCTAATCATTCTTTATTTCATCCTATTGTAAGACTTTGATAAAATAATATAGATTTTAGATTAATATTGAAAAAGAATGGTGAGATAGATGTGTGTATGATGATATAGTGAGTGTTAAACAATAGGATTGACATTTTGAAAGGGGGACAGGTGTGGTATCATTTTGTTATTTTATATTTCGTTGATTCACAAGATTTTGGTTGTGAATCCTTCCACAGCCTTTCTGATTTTTTTTGATGATTTTATTTCTTCTTTTTCTTTTATGTAATGGGTCAATTGTTCCTTTTGTTACTTTATGAGTTTTTGGGTTTTACAATTTTTTATGTTTGGATTTTTATATTTTGTCATTTTGTTCTTTTGTTATTGTTGCATTTTATGTTTTTTTCCACTGTTAGAACTTTTTAATTCTCTATTCTTTGAGTTTTTGTTGATTGGCAGTTCTGTTTTTCTTGTGAGTGATGAGTATCCACTGGTCTGTTTGTGGGACACACCCATGGGGCAGGGTGCATGTGGTTTGGGCCCCGGGGGGATAAAATTTTTTCGGGTGAGAAAAAAAAATGTGAGGGCCGAGCAAGCCAGCTAGACCTGACACGTCACAGCCAACTCTGATCCAACGATTGACTCACTTACCCAAACAACAACCACCGTCACAGCCAACTCCCATCAGTCAATCAACCCGCTTACCCCAAGAACAACCACCGAGTGCAAAATCTAGGTCAACATGTCAAGCCAACCAACCCAATCTTCCATGTCAAACCAGTCTGGCAATGTAAGCGATGCCACGGAGGTGCAAACTCGTCGATCCTCACGAGTCACTACCCCTATGAAGCGATCAGGAATGATTCAACCTTCACCAGATTCCCGTCGATCAATCACCCAGCCACTTCTGTCAGAAAGACCAGCTATTGATCCCAGCAGTCAAACCAAGAAACAAACTGAAGCTCCCACCGATTCAGATTCTACCCCTCAAATCACTCCAGTTCAGTCTCAGAAGCCACGCAACAAAAAACCAACCAAAAAACCCAAGAAAACCACTGGCGCCACCTCAGTTGGCAACTCTGAGGCAACCCCTGGAACCACGATCGACCTTGCGCAGGACTCTGATGAAGAAAATGCGAAGGCCAAATTCAAGAGGCAAAGGAAGAACCTGGAGGAGGATGATATCAAGGTTTTTTTTTCTGAACCTTTTCGCCGTAAGGATGATGTAAGTGAGACTTGTTGCATTTATTCTGAACATCTTAATTAATAACATCATTCTAATTAATTTTTTCCTCTTTTTTTTGTTCTTGTAGCCTGCAGATAAACCTCCGTCAACATATAGCTGTTTGTGGTGTAAGAAAGAAGTCCGGGTCTCAGCGTCTAGTCTTTCCAATCTTCGTGTGCATCGTGATGGCTCTCGTCAAACTGGAAGGGTCTCAAATGGATGTCCAAACCGTGCAAAAGCTATCGCTGCTGGAGCTAAACTTCCTCAGACGGCCCTTGATGAAGAGAAAAAGAAGAAAGGAACTCAAGAAATCACGAGTCACTTTGCTAGAGTAGAAAAGTTCGACAACATTATTCTTAATCGAATCGTAGTTCTATGGCTGTTGCGCCAGGCGATACCTTGGAATCGAGTTGAGGACCCTTATCTTCAGGCCGCCTTCAACTACTGTGAACCTGCTGCGAATTTGTTCAAAAGAAAATGGGCGGCAACGGCTTCAAGAACGGCATACTTGGAATTACAAGAAGAAGTGGTTAGACAAATAAAAGTAAGTAGTTTATTCTCATTAAAGTCAAAGAACAATCTACTTATATTGTTCAAATTATATGTAATCAGGCAACCAACAGCAAGTTCAATTTGATACACGATGTATGGACGACAAAAGGAAATCGCTATGGATTCATTGGTGTATCAGCATCTTTTATCGATAACGATTGGAATTACGTTGTGCTTCATTTAAGCCTCAAATTGGTTGCCTGGTTTCATCAAGGGGAATTGCTGGCCGCCCCGATCGTCAATATCTTGAAGAAACATCAACTCTACAATAAGATAAGTATTTTTAACTTGTTAATTATTTTCATGATAAAAGGTCAAACCTAATTTTATTTTCTCATATTTACATGCTATGTCAGACCACCGATTCAGGTTCGAATAACAATACCATGGCTGAAGAAATGCACACCAAACTGGCCCTTCTTGACACGGACGGTAACTTCGAATGGGAGCATAAGACAATGCATATTAAGTGTTTTTGCCATAAAATGGCTCTTGTTGTGAATGCTGGTTTGAAGGAATTGGGACTCCAATCCCCGCCTCCACCAAAAATGAAAAAGGTGTTCTTAGGTTCTTTTCCCTACTCAAATACGATGCCAAAAATCACGGAGGAGAATGAAGATGGAAATGAAGGAGACGATGAAGACAGCGATTCCAACAGTGAAGCCGGAAGTGATCACACCGAAGAAGACGACGCCGAATCGGATGATGATGACGAAGATGATACAGAGGATTCCCAGGAGGCCAACAAGGGTGCAAAAGACGGTCAAAAAGAATCTTCCTCAAAGGCCAACAGGAACAATTTGAATGACTTGAATGATTTGGTTACGGCAGTGAGTGATTACATCTCTGATATTTTTTTTGAGTGACCTACTGACAAGTTTAAATGATGTACATAGTTGGACTTTGTAGTTAAGAAAATTACCGGATCGTGTGCCTGGAGACAGGAATTTGAGCGACAAGCAGCTGGAAAAGGATTAAAAAATCTGATTGCTGGCTATGGTATCCGTTGGAATATAATATATGAAAGCCGAACTCGTGCCTATGAAGCCAGAGAAGTATGTTATTTATCCATCTTTCTACAAAACTTGTTGATTAATATTTGCCAATCTAGGTCATTGATGCAATACTCCATGATGAGTATGACAAATATAAACAACAACGGTCCAAATCAAGCCGCAAGGAAAATCCCAAGAAGCTCGGTCACTTCAAGGAGATCCAGTTCACAAAGAAGGAATGGGCGATGATTAATGAACTGAATGAAGAATTAGAAGTAAGTCCTTTTTATTATTATATATAAGGTTTTATCTGAAATGCTCATTTGTTTTTTTCAGCCATTCAACCGCCTGACCAAACTTATGGAGGGCGATGGTCCTACCGGTGCTTTCATCTTACCAAACTATTATAAAATAATCTCAGAATTGAAAAATAAGGAGGATGCCTGCAACCGAGGTCACCTGATGCATCCGATGTACGTCAAAATGATCAAGAAACTAGAGACCTACGAAAAAGAGGCACTCGAGTGTCATACTCTCATTATGGCAACTTTGCTCCACCCCAAATTAC